AACTCTGTTTTCTCCTCCACAGATGCTGCCAGACCTGCTGAGCTTTTCCAGCAATTTTGTTTTTGTTCCATTTGTTCCCCATCTGTGCTTCCAAATGCCCCTGTATCTGCACCATTGGAGGCTCCCCATTGAAAGTGCTCAGGATTTTCTTTGTTTAAGTGAAGTCACCTCTTACTGATCACCAGTGACTATAAACCCAGCCTGTCCACCCTTGTCTCGTAATACAACGTGTCCATTCCAGGCATTAGTTTAATAAGACTTCTCTGAGCTGCCTGCAATGCATTTATATCTTTCCTTAAATAAAGTGACCAATACTGTTCACAGTTTTACAAATGCAATCTTGCCAAAACTTTGATTAACTGAAGCATTACCCCCTTTGGGGTGATACGGTGGCTCAGTGGTTAGCATTGCTGCTCGCAGCACCAGGAAACCAGGTTTGTTTCCACCATGAGGTGATGGTCTGTGTGGAGTTTGCACATTCTCCCTGTGTCTGCGTGGGTTTCCTCCGGGTGCTCCGGTTTCCTCCCACAGTCCAAAAATGTACAGGTTAGGTGGATTGGCCATGCTCAATCGCCCCCATAGTGTCCAGAGATGTGTGGGCTACGTGGACTAGCCATCAGAAATGCAGGGTTACAGTGATAGGATAGGAGGGTGGGTCTGGATGGGATTCTGTGGACTCGATAGGCTGAATGGCCTGCTTCCACACTGTAGGGATTGTATGATTGTGCTAAATGATAACATTCTACTAGCTTTCCTACTTGTTATACCTGCATACTATCCTTTAGTGTTTCATGCTGTTAGAAAGCAGAGGTTGGCCACTCTCTGAGAACTGAAACCAAAACACCTAGTGAGAGAAAAGTGGTGTAACCTGCCTTTCAGCAACTTCTAATGGTTAACTAAAAGAAATCCCTGACACGCACTTTACAATCAACAAGTAACAATTTATTTATCTAACTCTAACAGTTAAGAAATTAACTAAACTATTAACAAACCGAATAAACCCCTTCTAACTACTAACTATTCCTGAATAAAACAAGATTCTAGTAGTATGCTATTCCAATAAATCCAAGTCCCACTTACATAAAATAAAATCGAATTTAGTCTTTCGAAATTACAGCCAGGTTACATGTCTTCCAGAATATTCTGTCCCTTCTCTGTTGAATGTTCTGTCAGGAATATTAACTACTTTGTGCCATTTGGTATTTTTGATTTTTAGATGGTGCTTTCTCTAAAACTTGGAGAAGACCGTGAGAGCCAGCGATTGTCTCTTGAGAGCTGAGAGTTATTAACTCTAGCAGATGGCAGTTAGTTCTCCTGTCTTTGCCCAACTGCTCCTCCTTTTATACCCAACATGTCATATCAATTTCTTACAATAGGATTGGTCCTATCTTGTCAAAAAAATCAGATTTGAATTTAATTAGTTTTTAGTATCTAAGTGCCTGGTTCAAATTGTTTGGCTAAATTCAAAACGTGTTGTCTTGATAAAAAAACAAATCAGCTGCTTGGCCTGCTAACTGTATGGCCTTTTGATACAAATGATTCAGTTTGGGTGCTCTCTGTATACTTTAAAGCTGCTCACAGATGTCCTTTCTAAATCTCTAAGCATAGAGAAAACACATAATCTTTTAAAGGGCCCCATGCACTGCTTTCTCCCCTAACATTTTACAAACACCAAATTCTAACGTCCTGCCTCCCAATCCACAAGTATTCTACCCAACTTTGCAACAATGCATTGCGGAGTGCTGTAATCTCTCACCATTTAGATAACATTTTTTTTAAAATCCTTTCTTTCAAATGGGCAATTTCACATTTTCCCACATTATGCTTCATTTGCTTTCACTTTGCCAACCCATTTAACCTATAATATCTTTCTGTAAACTCCTTATATCTCCTTCACAACTGGCTTTCCTATCTCTCTTTGTATGGTCCATAAATTTGGTGACTGTGGCTTCTGACCCTTCATCTAAAAAGGAAACAGTTGAGGTCTAAGCACAGATCCTTGTGGCAACCCACTCGTTACATCTTGCCAACCTGAAAAAGACCCATTCACGTCTACTCTCTGTCTTCCTGTTAGCCAGCCAATCTTACATGCACACACATACCCTTACCTTTCAATCCACACAATAACCTTTGACGTGGCTCCCTATCAAATCCCAGTCGGGAAACTAACCATTAATTGTCCACTTAAGGGCCCTTATTGCTGGAGCATCGAGACACTCTCTTGTTCAGCGCTCAATGATAGAAGTATGCGCAAAGGAGGTGAGTCTTTTTCCAGAGCCAGCACACCCCATGATGTTCCCTTCTCAGACCTCCATGGAGGGCAAGGTTGCAACCTCTATCCTTGGGTTTGACTCTGCGGCTCCAGTGTGAAAACAAGCAGAGTTATTCTGATCAAGTCAGTGATACATTTAGGACAGGATAACCCAGCTTCATACTCGTTGCACAACTAACCTTATTCAAAAACACAGTTCACAATTAGCCAGTTGTTGCAACATATAGCTGCATTTATCTCAGGGGGGGGGGAAAATGCTCCAGGCTACTCTCCAACTTTCACCATAGAATTATAGAGTCATTCAGTACAGAAACAGGCCCTTTGGCCCACCATGTCTCTGCTGACCAACAAACACTAAACTATACTAATCCATAAACCTGCACTGGGTCCATAGCCTACACTGCCCTGCAATTTAAGTGCTAATCCAGATGCTTCTGAAGTGATCTGAGAGTACCTGTTTCCACCACCCTGTCAGGCAGCACATTCCACATTTCTACCACCCTCTGAGTGAAAGAAGTTTGCCTTAGATCCTCTCTAAACCACTTACTCCTCACTTCAGACTTATGCCCTTTGGTCTTAGACACTGCCATGGGAAAACAAATTCTCATGAACTAGTCTGTCTATGCCTCTCATAATTTTGCACAGCTCAATTAGATCACCCTCAGTCTACTCTGCTCCAAGCAAAACAAACCCAGCCCATCCCGTCTCCTCTCATAACTGAGACTTTTCATTCTAGGCAACATCCTGGTAAGTCTCCTCTGCACTCTCTCCAGTGCAATCGGGTCCTTCCGATAGTGTAGCAATCAGCACAGCACACAATATTCCATCCCTAACCAATGTTTGTAGAGTTTTAACAAGACTCCCTTTGCCCACATATTTTACTCCCCGGCTAATGAAGGCAAGCAACCCATATGCTTCCTTCACCACCCTGTATACCTGTGCTGATACCTTTAGGGATCTATGGACTTGTACGCCAAGGTCCCTTTGTTCCTCAGTACTCCCTAGGGACCTACCATTCATTGTGTATATCCTTCCCTTTTTGGACCTCTCCCAACCAGTTCAGATCCTAGGTAGAAATGGTTTTTCGAGGTTTTATTAATCACTCCTGGTGCTGTGTATCCAGTGCAAGCTGTCATCATAAAACTTCTGAGTTGTTGTAACTGGCACCTAATGACAGCCAGATCAGGATCATTGAACCTCTGGAGTTTGAGTTGTTCTTTAACTTGCTTGATTCTAATAAGGTTGAGTTGTTCATTGATAAATCTGTTTTGCTGGTGACCCAAAACATTCGCCTGACATTTTCAGATTCGCGTGTGGGATGCAAGAAAAAGACAGGCTTTTTCACTGATCTACAATTTACTGTTTGACTTCCCTTAGAAGCCCATGAGATACAAAAATAGCCTGAACTTTATTTTTTCCTTTACTTGGTGAAAGACTAACTGTTTACTTTGAGCTTAAACAGAAAGTGTAAAGTGAAGGTATGTACAGTGAATGTCTTGTGTTATTTTGAACAGGTGTAGCCTATACTTCTGAATGTTTCCTGTGTAAACCTGGAACGTTTAGCGATACTGCTGGTTCTTCCGTCTGTAAGCCCTGTCCTCGAAATACGTTTTCTGGAAGAGGAGCCAGTTCCTGCCAGAAATGTGATGAAACCAAGCAGTTTTCAGGTATAGCTGCTTTGTGTTACGTTATTTGAATGGGCATAACTCAATTTTTTTTAACCAATTTCCCCAGTGCAAATTCCTGGAGTTTCCATGCATCCGTGGATTGTGAAAGCATTCTCTGCTGATTGCTGTGTTTGGAATTCTGATTGCTGTATTGTTTCCACTGCCTCTGAAATGCACAGTGTTCACAACACTATTATGCAGGAAAATATGAAATTACTCATTTTGACAGAAAGAGTAAAAAAACAGCATATTATTTAATTGAAGAGAGATTGCAGAATGCTGCACTGCAGAGGGATCTGGGTGTCCTGGAACATGCATCATAAACAGCTAACATATGGATACTGGTTTATGATGGAATTTTCTGTTCTTTATTCAAATTCAGGCCAGACTTCTAGGTTTGTCTTGAGTGTACACAATGGTAAAGCTGAGAGCTTCATGTTCAGAGGTGAACAAGATCCAACCTTGTAGCAGAGTCCTATCAACATGACTACCGAGGTCACAACAACATCACCGCATACTTCAAAAACTCAACTGTGTATTTATTAAGGACTATTCCTACATGAATAGCATGGGATTAGAATGGCAAACGGAATGTTGTTTATAGCAAGGAATATAAAGGTGGAGAAGATTTCCCACAGCTACTCATAGCATTGGTGAGACTACATCTAGAGTAATGTGCACAGTATTGGTTTCCTTACTTAAGAAAGGATATAATTACATTCGTATCTCAGAGAAGTTCACTGCACTGTTTCCTGGATGAAGGTTGGTCAGGCTGGGCTGTATCCCTTGTAGTTTAGAAGATGATGTTTTTGAGACAGGTAAGATACTGAGAGGACTTTGCAGGTTGGGTGCTGAAAGGATGTTCTCTCTTGTGGGAGAGGCTAGAACTAGGGACTACAATTTGAAAGGGAGGAACTTCTCATTTAAGGTGGAGATTGAGAAAACTTTTTTTTATTTTCCGTCAAAGGCTCTTGAGAGTGTGGAGTTCTCTTTTCCAAAGAATGATGAAGGATGGACAGGTCATGGAATGGTTAAAGGCAGAGGCAGATAGATTATTGATTAACAAGGAGATCACAGGATATTGGAGATTGGGAGAAAACTAGAATAGAGACCACAGTCAGATCAGCCATGATCTTGTCAAATGGTCAGCAGGTTTGAGAGACCTAATGGTCTACTCCTGCTCCTAATGTTTAAGTTTGTATGTACACTGTCATGTATATAGTATGATATATATTTACAAAAAATGTAATGTGCAGTGTACGAATATCATGGCACACCCAAGTGTTAGTGTTAAATTGCAGCAGGAAGTTGAGATTTCGGATGACTTCAATAGTTAGATGAATTTTGAAGTCATTAAAGAGCTCATGAAATTGGGACGGAGGTCAGGAGAAACATCTGACTAATGCATTCAAATAGTACATTAAGCTTAGTTCCGTTTAAATTATAACAGTGACCTTTATAAAGTATAAATTTCTTCCTATCCAATCAAATTATGTCATTTATATCACAATAAATAAATTATTGTTGCATCATTAAAAATTATTTAATTCTCTACATCGTTTTATACCATTTAAATTTAAAAATAGTAATATTGAATAACTGAAAATCTTTACATTTCCTTTCTCTGTATCTGTTACACAAAGTCAATGGAACTCTATCTCTACAGCTGAGTGCCAGTGACAGTACTGTGTAGTTGTTGTGTATCTGACATTGCCCACGAACAGTTTCCCATTGCTGCAGTACAAGCTTCAACTGCCTGTGCACTGCAAAAAAAACATAAATGTAGATTTGTATTTACTGGTCTCCTGTTCCTTCCCTTCGCTTCTGGTCACGTTGGAAAATAACTAATTCTTATTTTCCCAGATCACTTTTCTCTTCCCCCAGTAGGGAAGTATACATCCCGGCCTTGTCTTCCTGCTATTGGAGGTGGCAGCAGGTCACAAGACCTTCAGAGATAGGAGCAGAATTAGGCCACTCAGCCCATAGAGTCTGCTCTGCCATTTGATCCTGGCTGCTATGTTTCTCAACCCCATTCTCCTGCCTTCTCCCCATAATCCTTGATCCCCTTACTAATCAAGAACCTATCTATCTCTGTCTTAAATAACTCAATGATTTGGCTTCCACAGCTCTCTGTGGCATTGAGTTCCACAGATTCCTCACACTCTGGCTGAAGGCATTTCTCCTCATCTCAGTTTAAAGGGTCATCGCTTCACTCTGAGGCTGTGCCCTCGGGTCTTTGTCTCTCCTATTAGTGGAAACATCTTCTCCATGTCCACTCTATCTAGGCCTCTCAGTATTCTGTGAGTTTCTCTCAGATCCCCCTCATCCTTCTAAACTGAGTTCTGGTGCAAGGCCTGCACGAGCAATGGTAGCTGAGGAAAGACCACCTTAGGAGCATCGAGAGCAGTAACATAACGGTGTTGTGACAGTGTCAAAAGTTTTCAGTTAGGGGAAAAGAGAGAAATTAGTGCACCAAAGAGCTTGGTTGATGGTGCCACCCAGTGGCCATGACCCATAATTGCCGGTAACATTTTTAGTTTTGAAACCAAGAACTGTGGATGCTGCAAATTTAAATAAAAAGCTGAAATTGCTGGAGAAACCTGGCAGGTCTGGCAGCATCTGTGGAGAGAAAGCAGGGTCACCATTTCAGGTCCATAAGGTCACAAGATAAAGGAGCAGAATTAGGCCACTCAGCCATTGGGCCTGACTGCCATTCGATCATGGCTGATCAGTTTCTCAACCCCATTCTCCTGCCTTCTTCCTGTAACCCCTGATCCCCTTACTAATCAACATCCCTTCATTTAACCTGACATTTCTGCAGATATCAATTTCTCAATCACACCTTGGGCAATTTTCCATCGTGTCGATGCCAGTGTTGTAACTGTACTGGAAGAGCTTGTTTAGGCGAGTGGCAAGTTCTGGAGGACAAGTCTTCACTACTATTGCCAGAATACAGTTAGGGCCTGTTGCCTCTACAGTATTCAGTACCACCAATTGTTTTTTGATATCATGTGGAGTGAATCAAATTGGCCGAAGACTGGTATCTGTAATGCTGGGGATCACTGGAGGAGGCCGAGATGCATCATCCACTCGGCACTTCTGGCTGAAGATTTTTGTGAATGGTTCAGCCTTATCTTTTGCACTGATGCGCTGGGCTCATCCATCATTGAGGATGGGGATATTTGTGGAGCCTCCTCCTCCAGTGAGTTGTTTAATCGTTCACCACCATTCACAACTGGATGTGGCAGGACTGCAGAACTTAGATCTGATCCATTGGTTGTGGGATCGCTTAGCTCTGTCTATCACTTGCTGCTTTTGCTGTTTGGTGTGCAAGTAATCCTGTTTCGTGGCTTCACCAGGTTGACACCTCATCTTCAGGTATGCCTGGTACTGCTCCTGGCATGCCCTCCTGCACTCTCCATTGAACCAGGGTTGATCCCCTGGCCTGATGGTAATGGTTGAGTGCGGGATATAAGAACATAAGAACATAAGAACTAGGAGCAGGAGTAGGCCGTCTGGCCCTTCGAGCCTGCTCCGCCATTCAATAAGATCATGGCTGATCCTTTCGTGGACTCAGATCCACTTACCGGCGTTCTTACCGTATCCCTTAATTCCTTTATTGTTCAAAAAAAATCTACTTTTTTTTAAAAAACATTTACTGAAGTAGCATCAACTACTTCACTGGACAAGGAATTCCATAGATTAACAACCCTCTGGGTGAAGAAATTCCTTCTGAGTTCAGGCCTAAATCTGCTCCCTGTAATCTTGAGGCTATGCCCTCTTGTCCTAGCTTCACTGGCCAGTGGAAACATCCTCTCTACATCTATCTTATCTATTCCCTTCATAATTTTATATGTTTCTATAAGATCCCCCCTCAATCTTCTGAATTCCAATGAATATAATCCCAATCTACTCAGTCTCTCCTCATAAGCCAACCCCCTCAACTCCGCAATCAACCTAGTGAACCTCCTTTGCACCCCCTCCAGTGCCAATACATCCTTTCTCAAGTAAGGAGACCAAAACTGCACACAGTACTCCAGGTGTGGCCTCACCAGCACCTTGTACAGCTGCAACATAACCTCTCTGCTTTTTATTTCAATCCCTTTAGCAATGAAGGACAAAATTCCATTTGCCTTCCTATTTACTTGTTGTCCCTGCAGACCTACCTTCTGTGATTCATGCACAAGGACACCCAGGTCCCTCTGCATAGCAGCATGCTGCAACTTTTTACCATTCAAGTAATAATCCTTTTTACTATTACTCCTACCAAAATGTATGACTTCACATTTATTTACATTGTATTCCATCTGCCAGACCTTTGCCCACTCACTCAATGTATCTATGTTCCTCTGCAAAGTTTCACAGTCCTCTGCACACTTTGCTTTGCCACTCATCTTAGTGTCATCTGCAAACTTTGACACCCTACACGTGGTCCCCAACTCCAAATCATCTATATAAGTTGCAAATAATTGCGGTCCCAACACCGATCCCTGAGGCACACCACTAGTCACTGACTGCCAGCTAGAATAGCACTCATTTATCCCCACTCTTTGCTTCCTGTTAGTCATCCAATCCTCTATCCATGCTAATACTTTACCCTTAACACCATGCATCCTTATCTTATGCAGTAGCCTCTTGTGTGGCACCTTGTCGAAGGCCTTTTGGAAATCTAGGTACACCACATCCACTGGGTCCCCATTGTCCACCTTGCTCGTAATGTCTTCATAGAATTCCAAAAGATTTGTCAAGCATGACCTGCCCTTCATGAACCCATGCTGCGTCTGCCCAACGGGACAATTTCTATCAAGATGCCTTGCTATTTCTTCCTTGATAATAGACTCGAGCATCTTCCCCACTACAGAGGTTAAGCTAACCGGTCTATAATTCCCCATCTTTTGTCTACTTCCCTTTTTAAACAGTGGCGTCACATTTGCAGTTTTCCAACCTGCTGGGACTGCCCCAGAGTCCAGCGAATTTTGGAAAATTACCGCCAGTGCACCTGCTATTTCTCCCGCCATCTCTTTTAGTACCCTGGGAAGCATTCCATCAGGGCCAGGAGACTTATCAATCCTTAGCTCCATTAGCTTGCCCAACACTACCTCTTCCGTAATAATGATTGTTTCCAGGTCCTCACCTACCTTCGTCTCTTTGTCAATTACTGGCATGTTATTAGTGTCCTCCACTGTGAAGACCGATACAAAATACCTGTTCAATGCCTTGGCCATTTCATCATATCCCATAACTAAATTCCCCTTCTCATGCTCTAAAGGGCCAACGTTTACTTTAGCCACTCTTTTTCGTTTTATATATTTATAGAGACTTTTCCTATCTGTCTTTATATTCTGTGCTAGTTTTTTCTCATGTTCTATCTTACTTTTCCTTATAGCTCTTTTTGTGACTTTCTGTTGATCTTTAAAGTTTTCCCAATCTTGTAGTTTCATGCTGTTTTTGGCCACTTTGTATGCCTTCTAATGCCGGGCCATGAGGTTACAGATTGTGCTGGAGTACAATTCTGCTGCTGTTGATGGCCCACAGCACCTCATGGATGCCCAGCCTTGAGTTGCTCGATCTGTGCGAAGTCTGTCCCATTTAGCACAGTGATAGTGCCACCCAACACGATGGAAGGTATTCTCAATGTGAAGGTGGGACTTTGTCTCCACAAGAACTGTGTGTAGGTAAATCTTACTGATACTGTCATGGACAGATGCTTCTGCAGCTGGCAGATTAGTAAGGGTGAGGTCAAGTATGTTTTTTCCCTCTTGTTGGTTCCCTCACCACCTGCCACAGACCCAGTCTAGCAGCTGTGTTCTTTAGGACCCGACCAGCTTGATCTGCAGTCTTGCTGCCGAGCCACACTCGGTGGCGGACGTTGAAATCCCACCCCCTCCCAGAGCACATTTTGTACCCATGCCATCATCAGTGCTTCCTCCAAATAATGTTCATCATGGAGGAGTACCGATTCATCAGCTGAGGGAGGACAGTACGTGGTAATCAGCAGGAGGTTTCCTTGGCCATGTTTACCCTGAAGCCTTGAGACTTTATGGGGCTCAGAGTCAATGTTGACGATTCCTAGTGCAACTCCCTCCTGACTGTATACCACTGTGCTGTCCCCTCTGCTGGGTCTGCCCTGCTAGTGGGGCAGGACATATCCAGGGATGGTGATGGTGGTGTCTGGCGCATTGTCTGTAAGGTATGATTCTGTGAGTATGACTATGTCAGGCTGTTATTTGCTAAAGCTATGAGACAATTCTCCCAATTTTGGCACTAGCCTGCAGATGTTCAGGTTGTTGTTATTTTTGCTGCCTGGGTTGATGCCATGTTGTCCTTCCAGTAGCAAGCCTAATTTTGAGACAATTTATCAGTTTGATGCAAATGAGTTGTTTGTTAGGGCAGATAAGAATCACCGACATTATTGTGGGCCTGGAGTCACATGTAGGCAGACCAGGTAAGGACAGCAGGTCTTATGAAACTTAACAATCGTTTCATGGTCATCAGCAGACTCTTAATTAAGGTTTTTAACAAAATACAGATTGCCCTCAACACGGTGGGATTTGGACCTTGTTGCCCAGAGCATTACCTGGGTTTCTGGATTATAAGTGTATTGACTGCATCACTGCTGTTGGACACCACGCGATCCCATTAATTCAGCGTCAGATATAAATAGCTGCCAGCGAATTGAAAACCCACATGTCGGAGATTGCTGAGTTCCTTGTGAGCAGTCTCCCCAAGGTCGGCAATTTGCACCATTGTGTTGCCATCAATCACAAAATTCCGCCCATGGATGTTGCAACAAGTTGCATTTATATAGTGCCTTTAATGCAGTAACATGTCCCAAGGTGCCTCATGAGAGTATTCTCAAACATGATTTGACGCAGTGCCCCGTGAGATGATATTAGGGCAGACAGCCAAATGATTGGTCATTGAGGTTGACCATATGATTTGAACTGAAGAGTGGCAGCTTACTACTGATTTCTGACTCCCATCTTCTGCCGAATAAAGTCAGGCTTTTTATAATGAAGCTGCTGTTTAAACTAAAGTGGATTTTATGGCGCAGACCAAGTGTAAATCGTACAAGGCTAATCACATGAATCTCTGCCACTTTTTAGTTTAACAGGTGCTCTGATTTGGTGGGATGTTGGTTGAGGCAATAGTACGCATTGAAACACAAGTGCACAGTGGAATAGATTCAGAAGGATGAGTCCTGCTTCCTTCCCAGTTCCTCCTGAGTTGGGACTGTCAACTGCTTTGTTACAGGGATTTGCAAAGATGATGAAGGCAAAACACTGCAGATGATGGAAATCTGAAACAAACACAGAGTGCTGGAAAACTCGACACATCTGACAGCATGTTCATACAGAATACAGATTAAATCTCAAGTCTGGCATGACGTCTTCAGAGCAGTCCTAAGAGGAATGATACTAGAGTCGAGTTTTCTCTCCGCAGACGCTGCCAGATCTGCCAAGTTTCTCCAGCACTTTCTGTTGGTTTTTACGGGGAGGCAATGGCCTAGTGGTATTATTGCTGGACTGTTAATCCAGGGACCCAGGCAATGTTCTGGCGACGCAGGTTTGAATCCTGCCATAGCAGATGGTGGAATTTGAATCCGATAAACATCGGGAATTAAGAATCTAATGATGACCGTTAATCCATTGTCGATTGTTGGGAGAAACCCATCTGGTTCACTAATGCCCTTTAGGGAAGGAAACTGCCATCCTTACCTGGTCTGGCCTACATGTGACTCCAGACCCAGAGCAATGTGGTTGACTCTGAACTGCCCTCTGGGCAATTAGGGATTTGCAATAAATGCTGCTTGGCCAGCAACACCCTCATTCTGTGAATGAATAAAGGGGAAAAAAAGACAATGTCTGGTCCTTAAAAGGTAGACATGATGTGGGAGTAGGGAGACAATGGCATTTTTCTTCGTTGACATGATGAAGAGATGAAATATCATGATACGATTGATTGTGATGCATTTCACATGGAGTTTCATTAAAATCGCTGACAGGTTTAAAAATTAATGATAGAAACAAAATTTCTAAAATTGTGCATTTTCAAAATGGATCCTTTAGCAGTTAATTTCCATTATGGTTGTTTCTCAAATAAATAAAAGATCTAATGTTGCTAAATTACTTCTTAAAATCTTGTTGCTGTTTTTATAGATGAAGGATCTAGTGAGTGCAAAGATCGCCCACCATGTACAGAGAGAGATTATTTTCAGATACATACACGATGTGACAATGAGAGAAAGGTTTGTACTTTTTCTAATAGTAGCCCTTAAATATAAACTCTAATTTTTCTACCCTTATGAAGTTTATTTCCAAGCATACCTTTACAACAAGTTGTAGGATATAGGGTGCAGGTGGGATACTCTTCAGAGGGTCAGTATGGACTTGATGGGCCAAATGTCAAATAATGGACTCATGATATAAATGCGCAATGTTTTAAATTACTTTACGAGATGTAGTTGTCACTGGCTGAGTCAACATTTATTGCCCACCCCTCGTTTGAGTTTGAGTTTGATTTATTGTTGTCACATGTACCAAGCTACAGTGAAGAGTGCTGTTTTGTGTGCTATACAGGCAGATCATACCAACAAAGTACATCAGGGTATCAGAACAGAACGCAGAACACAATATTACAGCTGCAGAGAAGGTGCAGAGAGAGAGAGAGATCTCAAGGAGGTGGTGAGCTGCCTTCTTGAACCACTGCAGTCCGTGTGCTATAGGTAGACCCACAACGTCCTTGGTGGGGAGAGGGGGTGGGAATTTCCAGGATTTTGACCCAGCAGCCAAGTCAGGATAGTGAGTGGCTTGGATGGGAACTTTCAGAGGGCCATTTTTATCTGGTACCCTTGTCGTTCTGGATGGAAGTGATAATGTGTTTGGAAAGCATTAACAGGAGCCTTGGCAAGGTGCTACAGTGCAGTGCTGCATTCTTAAATGTAGACCTTGACCTTCACTTGCCTTGTCTGATGTCCGTGTAATTTTTGATTAATTACATCAATATAGCTACGTTTGACCTATTCATCAAATTTCTGATGTGAATTCAGCTTTTCTAGGATATTCTTGTTGCTCTTGAGAAGCCTTGGCTTTTTTCTAGGGCTTTGTTTTTTTTTAAATGTTATTAATTTTATCACTTGCATTTTAATTAAAATTAATTATTTTATTAATTTGTGGGATGTGGTTGGTGCTGCCTAGTCCAGCATTTATTGCCCAAACCAGTTAAGAATCAACCATATTATTGTGGGTCTGGAGTCACATATAGGCCAGACCAGGTAAGGACAGCAGATTTCCTTTCCTAAAGGAAGGATTCTGTCTCTAAAGGAAGTGAATGATGTGGGTGTACAACAATCAACTGTGGTTGCATAGTCATTTTTAGTCCAGTTCCCCATTCCAGAGTTTTTAAAATTGGATTAACATTTCCACAATATGCCATGGTAGGACTTGAACCCATATCCCCCAGATGATTAGCCTGGGATACTGGTCCAGTGGCATTATTGCTTCCTCTCTGATCTCTGTGCAGTTTGTGCAAAAGTAAACTATGTGTGACAGTAAAATCATTCTTTGATTAAATCACCTGATCAAGCTGTATTGAATGGAACATTAGTAAGATAGAATAGAAGCACATATTTCACTGTCATTATGTAACTCTGCCAACTGCTTGGCCCAGAATTCTTTACGTGATATCATAATCATAGAATCCCTACAGTGTAGGAGCAGGCCATTTGGCCCATCAAGTCCACACCAACCCTCTGAAGAGCATCCCGCCTGCACCCTATATCCTACAATGCTGCATTTCCCATGGCTAATTCTCCTAACTTACACATCCCTGAACACTACGGGCAATTTAGCATGGCCAATCCACCTAACCTGCACATCTTTGGACTGTGAGAGGAAACTGGAGCACCCGGAGGAAACTTACACAGACAAAGGGAGAATGTGCAAACTCCACACAGACTGTCACCCGAGGGTGAGATCAAAACCTTGTCCATGACACTGTAAGGCAGCAGTGCTAACCACTGAGCCACCGTGCCACCATATGGTTTCGATATCACCATAAAATTACTCACTGACCCACAATTACCGTGAAGGATTCCAGGGAATATCACCTCCAGGCCTCATTGTGAAATCAGTCAGAGCTGCTAACCTACTCAATGCATGATGCAATCTCCCAGACAAAGACATTGTGCCCCCTTCTCTTTTATTTGCAAGAATGTTGCCGTGGGCAGAATTTTCCCATTCCTTGATCGGCATGGGTAATAGCGAAAATATGGCAGGAATCAAAAAATCTGTTGCTTAACATTGAAGAAAGGGGAAAATCAGGATTTTCTTGAAGATTTTAACAGCAGGATGATAATATTGCTAGTACCTTATTTCCTTGTATTTGCACCTCATTACTAGCCAAATTGCTTAATTTATATGCAGCTTGCAATTCTTTCTCCTCCTGTCCTAGAGACGTGGTGGCATGCTGTTAATGTCCCTGGATTAGGAAAGCGAAACCAGACGGGCTAATGTTCTGGGGGCAGGGATTCAAATCCCACAATGGCAGATGGTGAAGCTTGAATTCAATAAAATCTAGAATTAAGGAAGAGCCTAATGATTACCCCAGTTAACCGTTGAGAAAAACCCATCTGATTCACAAATGTCCTTTTAAGGAAGGCAATCCGCCAACCTTATCTGGTCTGGTCTATATGTGACTCTGGACCCACGGTGATGTGGTCGACTCTTAATAACCCTCTGAAAGACCCTAGAGAGCCACACAGTTCAAAGTCAACCAAGGCTATACTGGCCCCGCCAGTAATGCCTCCATCTTGTGAATGAATAAGGCAAAAATGGAAATGGGCTTTTCATTGATCACTTTTTAAATGCTATGTCTATGATTATTCAAATAACATTTACCTCTTTCAGTCGCAAATATGAAAAAGCAGCTCTGACCTCTAACCTGTTTTGATCTAAACCATTGCTTTCAGTTTTGGAAAATCGCTAGTGAGAGTTAGGTTGGGAAGATGGGCAGAAGTTCTATCTACTAACATCTTTAGAATAAGAGTTCATAGAATTCCTGCAGTGTGGAAGCAGACCATTCAGCCCATTGCATCCACACTGACCCTCTGAAGGGTATCCCACTGTAGCCCTGCAATTCCCATGGCTAACCCACCTAGCCTGCACATCCTTGGATACTATGGGCATGCCTAATCCACCTAACCTTCGCAACTTTGGACAGTGGGAGGAGTGTGCTAACTCCACACAGACAGTCACCCAAAGGTGGAATTGAACGTTGGCCCCAGGTGCATTGACACAGCAGTAGTTAACCCACTGAGCCATCATGCCACCCATTGCAATTGGTGTTTATAAGGATGGAAAGTCATGGAATTAGAAGTGAGTTTAATGGCAACCATGTAATCCATTCTCAGTTGTTGTAAAAGCCCTGTCTGGTTCGTTAATGTCCTTTAGGAAAGGAAATCTACTGTTCTTGCCTGGTCTGGCTTACATGTGACTCCAGACCCACAGTAATGCAGTTGACTCCTAACTGGCCTAGGAAATGGCCTAGCAAGCCACTCTATTCAAGGAGCCATTCAGGATGGACAATACTTGTTGGCCCAAACCAGACCCATTGTTGGCCCACATCCCATGAATGAGTAAAAAGAAATCGAAGATCACATTGTTCATGTATTCATATTATTCCACTATCAATATATTAAAATCTTGAAACCTCATGAAAAATAGAGTGTTCCCTCCATTGTTTTCAGACTCAGATCATGTACAAATGGGTTACACCGAAGCTTTGTAGGGAGGATATGAAAAATGCAGTCCAGCTCCCTCCATCTGGAGAGAAAAAGCCTTGTCCACCATGTAACCCTGGTTTCTACAACAATGACACTGCAACCTGTGCTCCCTGCCCTTCTGGAACCTTCTCAGATGGAATGAGTCGTAAGCATCCTTGAGTTTTGTTTATCTACTTTATTACCTGCTTTATAAATGCAGCAGTTATTGTGCATTTAGTGACTATGCTAGCCCAATGCCTGTTATAATTCATAGTCACTTAGACTGAAAGTCCTATGTTTCATTCCCAGCTTATGCTGAAAATGTTGATTGTTATCGGGAGATGCTCTAGAGGATATAGAGGATAAGGTTTTGGAGTAGATTTGTAGCTCGGGTTGTGGGTGTTGAGGTTGGTTGCTCAGCGAACCAACCAACCTCAGTATAGGGGGTAAACTTCAAAATTTCTGCAGCTTTTCAATTTGTTCGACATTGGAAAGCGGGACATTGGCCCAAGTTGTGATGGCCTTTGTGATTGAATAGCTTGTAAATACTCATTGTGAAGTTGCAGGTATAAGGAATGGCCGTCTGGGGGAAGAGCTGGAAGGTTGCAGGTGGGCACCAATAAAAGACATTACAAGAAGAAAGAAGTATTTGCTTTGGAGATTGAGGAAAGAAAATTGTCTACCTTTTGCTGGAGTTTGGTTTTGTATTTTAGAATCAGCTATGAGCTAAGGTTGTAAGCTGTTCCACTGGTGATTTGGGTACACTCTTTGCTGATTTTCTGAAAGAAAACCCATGGAATCTCCTTTCTCTGTGGATGTTTAGTTCCACAAAGGTAAACTTCCAGAAGTTTGTGTTATTGAGAAAATGAAGAAAAAAGCTGAAGTGATTGTGATTTCTGCCTTCTGTAAAGTGAATTATAACCACCCTGATCCTCGACTGTGTGTAACTGCATGTTGCCCTTAATCAGGCTAATGTTTCATAAGTGGCAGAAGTGTAACATGGACAAGGGTAATGTTTGAAGTGATGTAGCTGGGCAGGTTGATAAGTGTGGTATGGGTAATATCGAGAGATAGAGAAAACTATAGCATTGAAATGCACAAGATTTTCCTGTGTGTTTCAAGTTGTTTCTCTAATTTCATTTTTACACAGCATGTAAGCCATGCCCGGCTGGTACTGAGCCTGTGCTGGGCTTTGAGTATAAATGGTGGAACACTTTACCAGCGAATATGAAGACCTCATGCTTCAATGTTGGAAATTCCAAGTGTGACAAAATGAATGGTAAGTTTTCATAAAGATTAATCTCGTAGCTTCATTGTCAAGTGCCTTCAGAGTCTCTGGCAGTAAGTTCACATTGAAATGAATGGGTCAGAGTGGACGTTCAATTTCAGTGAACGCAGCTGCTTTTACATATGTTTGCAGAGGAGAAATTTCTCATATGAAAGCTGCAACAAAAACTATTTGAGGGTTGATAGAATTCAAAAAAGGCATTGTTTATTTTAGCGTACATTATTTGGAAGCAGTTCAGAGAAGATTTACTCAATTAATATCTGGAACGAACTGACTGCCTCCAGAGGGAAGGTTGGACAGGCTGGGCTTGCATCTGCTGGAGTTTGGAGGAGTCAGAGGTGACTTATTTGAAACGTACAAGATCCTGAAGGAAATTTACCGGATGAATTAATTCTCTCAAAAGTTGGTGAACCTGTGGAATTCACTACCCTAGATTGTGGTGGATGCTGCGACATTGAGTAAATTTAAAGAGGAGATAGATTTTTAATGAGTAATGGGTTGAAGGGTTATACGGAGTGGGCAGGAAAGTGGAATTGAGGCTGAGATGAGATCAGCCATGATCCTATTAAATAGTGGACCAGGCTCGAGGGGCTGAATGGCCTACTCCTGCTCCAAGTTTTTATGTTCTTCTGAATGTTGAAAGGATGTTTCCTCTCGTGGAAGAATCTAGAACCAGGGGTCATAGTTTAAAAATAAATGTGGTCCCACTTAAGACAGATGATGTGAAAATGTTCTCAGAGTTATGAGCCTTTGGAATTCTCTTCCTCAAAAGGCAGTGGATTAGAAATCTTTAGATATTCTGAAGGCAGAAGCAGATTGATTTTTGATGAGCAAGGGGATGAAGGATTATTGGGGATAAGCAGGAATGTAGAGTTGAGGTTAAAATCAGATCAGCCATGATCTTATTGGATGGCAGAACCAAGGACCGAGTGGCCGACTCTTGTTCCTTGTTTGTATGTTTGTATTATTCTCTTTCAGAATATCTATAAAATTTATAACCACATCCAGGGCAATAACTTCAGGTTGAAGGAACAAAGTAGAAATGGAATTAGATGCTGTATGGTATGAATCTAACTCAAAAAAGCTTCCTGCAATAATAGCATTTGGTTCATATTTAATAGGGATTATTACTGGCTGTGGTCTATAGATGCTGCAGCTAAATTAATTAAGTAATAAGTTATTAATGATGCTTTTGTCATCAGTTTATGTTAGTGTTTGAGAATTGAACATAAATGTTATTTTAGTCATTGAGTGTCAGGGTAACACACTTTTAAATCTGCTATCACATGTTTGCCTGTGGAGTGAAGCTCTGTTCATTCTGTCGTATCAAAGTATTTTAGCTTCAAGGTGAGCGTATGTGCTTTCGGAATTTTTCCACTGTCATCCGTCATCCCAGAGAAACACTGTGTCCCACATCACTGGATTCTGGTTAGTTTTGATCTGGTGGGAATTGGGTAGATTTCCAGAATAATTGTTGTTTTCAAAGACTCATACTTGCAGTTGGGAGAGAGATGATTTCCAACGTCCTGTGCAGTATTTGACTAGGGTACAACAGGAATAAGAGAAGGTATTAATTAACAGCGCCATCAAGCTGCCGAAGCAATGAGAAAGAAAGTGAAAACTAAATGTTTTGTGAAGAAAGAGATTTAGGAAATAAAGTTGATTTTTATTCTTGCTTTTTTTTGTTGTAGGGTGGGAAGTAGCAGGTGATCACATTCACAGTGCCGTTGGAGGGTCTGATAATGACTATCTCATCTTAAATCTCCACATTCCCAGCTTCAGGTTTGATTTGTGTACTTCTTGCTGATGGAATTCAAAAATTGATTGAAGGCCTTGCTAAAAATTGAAGTTTCTGATACAAGTTCTGCTCTTCTGTTTAGCCCACCGATTTCATCAGCACATTCCAGTGGGTTGGAAGTGGGGAGAATTACCTTTATTTTTGAGACTCAGTGTGCTGGAGACTGTGAGTTATACTTCATGGCGGTAAGTGCTTTGAATCACAACATTTCACAGCATGAGAGGCCCTTTGGCCCATTACACATGTACTGACCCCTTGAGCTATCAACGCCACTTTCCTCTTGTCTTTCTATCTTTCACAAATTTCCATCCATTACCTTGTTACAGTTTCTGGCAGGTTATTCTATTTCCTTACAATCTCCTTCTCCAGAAATATTGCTCCTGATATTGTCATTTGTCTGCCTCCTTTCAATTTGCTGTGGATTGGACGATTATTTCTGGTATGTCGAGCATTCCTTTGCTAAGTGACCTACTCGTGGTGTTCAGGTATTCAATATTATTGACCTGGGTTCTAGGAACATTGCCATTTGGTGATAAGCTCACTTTGTGTGAGATGCGAGTCAAACAAACAACGTTGCATTGTGGGGCAGTGAGCACCAGTTTTGGTGCAGCCCTTCCCAACAGCATGATTCCCCTTAGAGGTCACATAGTCATAGAGTTATACAGCACAGAAACAGACCCTTCGGTCCAACTCGTCCATGCCTACCAGATATCCTAATCTGATCTAATCGCATTTGCCAGCATTTGGCCCATATCCTTCTAACCCTTTCTATTCAAGTCCCCCTCCAGCCACCTTTTAAATGTTGTAATTGTACCTACTTCCACCATTTCCTCTGGCAGCTTGTTCCATACATGTACCACCCTCTGTGTGAAAAAATTGCCCCTGAGGTCACTTTTAAATCTTTCACCTCTCACCTTAAACCTATGCCTTCTAGTTTTGTATTCCCTACCCTGGGAAAAAGATCCTGACTATTCAACCTGTCCATGCCCCTCATGATTTTATAAACATCTGTAAGGTCACCCCTCAGCCTCCGATGCTCCAGGAAAAATAGCCCCAACCTATTCAACCTCTCCCTATAGCTCAAACCTGCCATCCCTGCGCACAGCCTTGTAAATCTTTTCTGAACCTTTTCAAGAGTCCTTGCAGGTTTTTGCTTCTCTCCATGTGGATTTATCCTCTTGAGATTGTGGAAGAGAATTTGAAATTTTAACTTTAACAAGTGGGTAAGAGCTAAATACACTACACTTACTGGTACTATAATAAATCATTTTTTTCAATAGTCATTCCTAAGTTATTGCTCAGTTACAGCTGGCTAGCCCAGTGCTTCCTGCCTAGGGTGGAGTTAAGAGTCAACCACATTGCTGTGGGTCTAGAGTCACATGTAGGCCAGACCAGGTACGCACAGCAGATTTCCTTCCCTGAAGGACATTAGTGAAGAGATGGGCTTTCCCTCCAACAATTGGCAATGGTTTCATGGTCATCATTGGACTCTTAATTCCAGATTTTTACTGAATTCAAATTCCACCATCTGCCATGGCAGGATTTGAACCCACCCTTGAGGATTAACCTGGGGTTCTGGATTACTAGTCCAGTGACATACCACTATTCCATTGCCTTCCCCAACCCTCCTTGATACAAGCTGTTTAAGTGCTTACTGCTCTCATGTCTTTAGTAAACTATTCTGGTTCTTAATGCAATATTTAAATAAATAATTTTATTAAGACAAAGGGATATTGTAGGTAAGCATGAAATATGAGTTTACTTTCTATTTTACAAGAGTATGTTTAAAAAGACACTTAGAATGGTTTCTTTGTGAGGTGGGACTATTTTAATGTTAAAATGATTTTCTAATCTTGGCTTGTAGGGGATCATGCTGCTCTTTGCTTTCACCAGAAGTAGAATTACTAAGTGTCCTGTGTCAGTTCTGAGGAAGGGTCGCTGGACCCAAAATTTTAACTCTGCTTTCTCTCTACAGATGCTGTAAGACCTGCTGAGTTTTTCAGCAATTTCTGTTTTGTTTCTGATTTTCAGCATCCGCAATTCTTTAGTTTTTATTATCCTGTCTCTATTGTCTGTTTGTAAGGATACCAATAAAGGTCAGCCACAACCACACTGCGAGCTAACAGTTTTATTAAAAGCTGTGAACTTCCCCAATGTAGCGCGCACCCAGACAGACCCTGATGGTTTCAAATGTCTCCTGAGCATTTCTGGGCTGGTTGATCCCAGTTTGTATTGGAACAAGGGACCCCCAGCTTCTCGGGTCTTAAGAATGAAACCAGCCATAATTCCCATTCCTGACGACTGGCCAGGAGCCAGTGCTGGAAAACAATTAAGTCCAAAATGGGATTATACTTGATTCTCCTGCTCTCCGTCATAAACCAGATGCTAATTTGGTGAGGAGCCATTTTCTAAACAACACCGATGTCATCAGGAGGGCAAGGGAGGTACATTGAGGGTAAAAAGACACTAACTTGAAGGTAGCTGTAAGAATATAATTGAGGTTGATTCCCTCCAAGGCTGTGATTAAACACCACCTGTTGGTGGTACAAAGAGGAGCCAATGTTACTGGTCAGTGAATGGGAGACAGCAGTCTCAGAGATGGCACTGCAGAATGTGCGTGTTTAGAAACATTCCTCAGACTGATTTAGATTTTTGAATAAACAATGCATTTCATTCTGAGCAAACAGCTCACTGCCACCCCCCCCAAAACCTGTGCCACCCCCCACCTCCAACCCCTCTCCCCCCCCCCCAACTGACCCACATCCACCTGCAGCTCAGAATGCAGGCCAGCTCTTGTCTGCTACCCCCACCCCCCAGCTCTACCTTCCCCACACCCCCCAGGCTCCACTTCTGCCGCAGCCCCTCTACCACCCTCAGGCCTATCTTCCTGTCACCTTCCCACATCCCCCAGCTCCACCTCTCCCACAACACTGCATCCCCCAGCTGTACCTCCCTCTCATACCCCAACAACTCCCCGGATCCACCTCGCCCACAACCCCTCCCCTGTGGCTCCACCTCTTTTCCCCCCCCCCCCCCCACCTCTACCTTCCCCAACCCGCACAGCTTCACCACCACCCACTCCCACCCCTCACAGCCCGCAGTGTGTGCGCTGTTGCTAATGTGACTGTGCATGGAGCTTGGTGATATCAGCGACACCCATGCAGCTCCTTCCTGTCCTGTTGCAGTCAGCTGATATCACAGGCCAGCTCTGCACATACCCAGAAGCCATTAGACAGTTGTGGATAAACTTCTCAATTCTCACAATTGGTTAAAGCAGAGTCTGTTCTACAGGGAGATTCTTCTTGTTCTATAGGGTGATTTTGATCTTGGCAAATGTCTATAGGGAGATTTCTCATAGGAATAACCAGTAACATTATTACGGTGAATATATGAATGGTACCAGCAGAAAATGATCTCCTTTTAACTTTCAGGATATAAACAGAAAGGTGACGAGTGTTGTCGAATCTTGGGAAGGTACTAAAGAGCGACAGTCGTACACTCACGTCCTAACGAAGAATGTAGCGGTTACTTACACTTGGGCTTTCCAACGAACAAGTTCCCCTCAAGAGGTAAAACAGAATTTGTTTTTCAGTATCTTCATTCTGAATGGAACACATTTCAGTTTGAACACCGGGGACGTGAAGGTGTATTTCAATTTGTCAAATTAATGTTTCAGGTCAGAAAGTTTCTGAATGATAACGTAAAGATCTACTCCATCACTGTGAGCAATGTGGAAAATGGCGTGTCTTCGCATTGCCGGCCTTGTGCACTTGGCCCTGATCAGCAGAGTTCTTCTTGTGTGCCTTGTCCACCTGGACACTATATTGAGAAAGACACAAATCAGTGCAAGGAATGTCCTCCAGACACCTACCTCTCAGCCCATCATGCGTATGGTGTAGAGGTATGCATTCCCTGTGGACCTGGCAGCAAAAGTGATAAGGTCTGTATGTGCAGAGCGAGCCATTAAAAATTGATGCTGTGTTGGTTACAGATGAATGGAGGGATTATGTGTTAGCTATTAGCTGAACCTAACTTGGTTTCACTCGACCTAAAGCCTACAATTTCCTTCAGCCCCTGTAAGACCAAGAATCTAACTCTGCCCCCTTTCTTAATTATGTTCTGATCCTTAGGGACATCATTTGTGGAGTTAAAGTTTAGTTTATGTGTACCTTGTCTTTGCGAGCACACCTTTAAATACTCTTGTGTATACAATGTTGCGACCCTGACTGGTCATTAGTCTGTAGTGAGTCTGCAATCTGCGCACACAAATCAGTTGACTTTTGCAATGTCTGCTTCATTCCATGCTATGTGTTTTAAATAAACTAACCCACAGAGTTAATACCTGACACACAACTAATTATTAGGCCATTAACATGACAGTTCTTACTGATATTCTGAAAGCAGATGGGTCTACCTTGCTGTCGCCACCCTTAATGACTGACTGACTGTCACTGTACCCTCTAACTGATTTTGCTGCTATCAAAGCCTCTATGAGCAACCATTTCCTTCAACGTAACATTGGTAATTCCATCTCAATCCTGTTCATCTGCTGCCAAAATATCCACGAAACCCTGGGCTCAGCTTTTAGCCCCATTGCTAATCATGATCAAATGCCTGCCTCCACAATATCACTCACTTTACTCCCAGTGAAAACCCCTATTCAAAACTCTTGCTGCCTTCAGACGCTGGGCCTTGATATTTGCTTCTGCTCTTCACAAATATCATCCCAAAGTCCTGTTCTCCTCTGGCCCCTGTTCATGTTAGTCATTATTGGTTCCCCTATTTCCAGTGAATTGCTTTCAAAGTTCTATGCTCATCCTAAAATTCCTGTGTGGGTCAAGTGCTGTTTGATCTTTCAGCCATTGTACCCTCTGTACACTGTGGAGTGAGGCACAGATCAGCCATGATGTCATTGAATAGTTGAACAGGCACAAGGGGCTGAATGGCCTACTCCTGTTCCTGTGAACCCTCTGCTCTTTCAGCCCTAGATTCCCGAAAATATTTTTTGCAACACCTAGAATAGTGAAACATTTAATACACAATCGTAGAGCCATACAGCACAGAAACAGACCCTTAAAACCAACTCGTCCATACTGACCAGGTTTCCTAAACTGAACTAGTCCTATTTGCTTGCATTTGGCTCATATCCTGTAAACCTTTCCTATTCATGTAACTGTCCAAATGCCTTTTAAACATTGTAATTGTGCTGGTTAATCCCTGGACATTCTGGGACATTCCAAAATTTCTGTCTTCTTGCTCTGATGCCAACCAATATCTCTTCCCAGTGTACTACTGATCTTAGCTCGGTATATTACCTTCACCACAATTTATAGCACCCTTTTCTTTTAAGCCAAGGGAACTGCTTTGTGTCAATCTCTTGTGTTAAATTGTTCTGTTAAAGCTTTGTGTCCGAGGAGGTGTCCCCAAGCTAGTTCACAAGAGCACATTCAAAGACCAACCAAGTGAATAGAAACTAAGGTCTACACAACTGGACACGATTCAGGATTTTTGGAGAGCAGCTGAGGATCTCGGGTGGTTGGAACTGAAATAACTCCAGAGAGGCTGTTATTCTGTCACCGAGTCACTCTTTAATTACACTTGGAAAGTCCTTAACACTGATCCAGCTCCTTTACAGCCATCTCTCAGAGTGAACAGGATGTCTGACACTCCTTTTATTTCCGGTATCCCATTACCAAGTCACCCTTTATTTACTTGTGCACAGTGCATTGGCTGTAGCCAGCCAGCTCGGAGTTAGTTCCCTAGACTCGGGAGATTCTAAATCCCCTATGTATTATTTTTCCACTTTTTTTTTTGTAAGTACAGGGACTCAGTGAAGACACTGTGTGAAAAAGGGTTTATTCAATATTTCCACCACCAGGAAATCACCCATGTGCCCTGGGAACCAGTAACAAGCAAAGCCCGACAAGGGTAATGCTTATGTGAAAAAAGGAAGGTACACCTCCTGTTCTTATCTGTCAGCCAGGACTCCCTGATTGGGCCAGGTTAATAGCCCCAATCGGGGAACTTATATTCTATGAGGACCACCTGGCTGACCCCATTACAATCACTACATCCCTTCTCCCTGAGTCTGACGACATTGTTCGGTTCTTTCTCTTATCGCTCCTCCTGGGTCATTTTAGCACCAGGTCAGGTTCCTCTGACTCTGTCTCTGATACAAGTGGTGTGTAACATACAGGTGCTCGCCTCAGCATAGGCGTTGAGGCGGTGACATCCGCTGTGTCCATCTCTATTTGTGAGATATCTTCAGTACTTGATGGAGAGGAAGAATCTACAGGTTCTGGAGCAGTTGGAAAGGCAGTCAAGGGGCCGGGCATGTTTTGCTCCCACACTGTTTGTGATTTTGCCGCTATCATATGGTCCACGTGCTTGTTCAGGACTATCACAACAACCTGAACTTTATATGTCACTGGACCTGACCTTGGGTCAACCATGCCTCTTACCATTGCAGGACCATTCCTGAGGTTCCTGCACCAAACTTCATCCCCTGAGGTAAACTGTCTCTCTCGCTTCGTGTCCAGCATTGGCATTCCTGATGCCATTTCACCCTCACCCCCAGGTTTGGGAAGAACAGACTTACCCATACATTCCCAAGAATGTGAGAGGGCTGTTGGCAGTAATTTTTGTCCTTGTTGGCAGTCTGGGCACTGCCCCACCAACGCGACTATGACTGCATCCAGTCCTGGCTGCCAGACATAACCTCTCACCAACATCTTCATTTTGGAGACCCCTGGATGACCCTGGTGGAGTTCAGCCAGTATCTCCTGGCAACCTTTGCTCAGGACAATCACTCTTGCTCCCAATAATAATATGCCGTCCTCTACTGTGATCTGGTGTCTCCGGGTCCAAAAAGGTCTCATTTCTGATCGTGATGGTCCTTTGCTATTCCCCATCACCGTCAGCTGTTTAAGTTTAACCAGGATGGGGAATTAACCTTTCTGTGTCCAAAGTCTGATATTGTCAGCTGTGACGCCCTCATCCCCTGAATGAATAAAGAAAAACAAAAATCTAGACACATGGTGACCTGGGGTAGGCCTTGTAAAATGTTCTCCATTGTCTACTAAGCAATTGCACAGGCTGACAGTACCCCAAAAGGCAGTCCCATCGATTGGTACAAATGTGTCCGGGAAATTTCAAACCATTACAGGCTCTTCCAGAGGCTGTACCACCAGAGGTGTACCTGCCAGTGGGAGGTGGCTCAGTGCATCCACATTCGGTACACCTTCCAGATGGTGTTCCAACTTGTAATTATACGCATTTAGTATTAGAGCCCACCGCGGAATTTGGCCTGAAGCTATGGGCAGCATTCCCTGTCCTCTTTAAGTAGATCCAGCTGGGATTTATAGTCCGCTAATATTACAAATGTACATCTGTAAAGGTGTTGGTGGAACTTCCTGACTCCAAATATGACCGCCAAACCTTCTTTTTCTATCTGGGCGTATTTACGCTCTGCATGAGCTAAAGTCCTAGTTGGGGGCAGCCTCTGAGCTAATACTACCCTGACGCCATACAGGGAGGCATCGCACGGCAATCCCAGATCTCGCCTGGAAGCATAGAGTGCCAACACCTTAGAGGATGCTAGCTTTCAGGGAAATGAAAAACCAGCAATGGCTTGGCTACACGACCAATTGCAAGGCTGACCCTTTTTTAGGAGTTGATGTGAAGGTGCCAGAATGGAGGCCAGTTTATGTATGAACTTTTGGTAGTAATTCACCAGCCCAAGGAAAGAGCTAAGCTCCACTACTGATGTGGGAACGAGGCCACCTTTGATTGCCCTCACTTTATCTTCCAGTGGGCGTCACCCGGTCTTGTCGACTCTGTCGGTAGGTCACTCGGGGTACCTGGAACACACACATTTATCCCTTCTAAGGCGTACACCTGCCTGGAAGGAATGTCTAAGGACAATGTCCAAGTTCTCTAATCATTCCTTATTGGTCTTCCCTGTTATTAGTAAATCATCAGGGGAGGCAATGGCCTAGTGGTATTATTGCTGGACTGTTAATCCAGAGACCCAGCTAATGTTCTGGGGACCTGGATTCTATCCTTCTGTGGCAGATGGTGGAATTTGAATTCCATAAAAATCTGGAATTAAGAGTCTAATGATGACCATGAATCCATTGCCAATTATCAGAAAAACCATCAAGTTCACTTATTCCCTTTAGGGAAGGAAACTGCCATCCTTACCTGGTCTGGCCTACATGTGACTCCAGACCCACAGCAATGTGGTTGATTCATAACTACCCTCTGGGCAATTAGGGATGGACAATAAATGCTGGCCTAGCCAGCGACGCCCTCATCCCCTGAATGAATAAAGAAAAAAAAAATCTAGACACATGGTGACCTGGGGTAGGCCTTGTAAAATGTTCTCCATTGTCTACTAAACAATTGCACGGGCTAACAGTACCCCAAAAGGCAGTCCCGTCGATTGGTACAAACCCTTATGGGTATTAATTGTAGCAAACTTCTGGGAATCCTCAGCCAACCGCAATTACATGTACGCATGGCTCATGTTCAGCTTCGTGAAGGATAGCCCCACTGCCAGCTTTGCGTATAAATCCTCTTTGCAAGGAATTGGGTATCTATCCAGCTGGGAAAAGCAGTTTACCCTTTGTTTAAAATTCCCACAAAGGCAAACCGACCCCATTGGGCTGATAGTTGGTACGACCAGTGCTGCCTATTCTGCAAACTGGACTAGTTTGATGATTCCTTTGCTTTCCAGTGTCCTGATTCCTGCCTCTACTTTTGTGTGTAAGTCACATTTCTCTGGGCGGGCCCTATAGAATTGTGGAATTGCTTCCTGGTCAACACGCAAGGTTCCCCTTGTCTCCCTTGATATTCTCTAGACCTTTCTGAAAAATTTCCGGGTATTTAATTAGGACTTCACTCAGGTAGCCATTTTCAAATTGATAAATGTTGCGCCAGTCAAAATGAATCTTTCTGAACCAGTTTCGCCCCATCAAGCTTGGGTCCAAGCCTTTTACTACAATCAGCGGGAACTGAACCAGCTGCTTCTCATAAGAGACCAGAACAAAGTTGTACCCTTAATCTGCATGGGTTACCCTGTACAGGTTCTCTGTGTGGCCAGTGTCCAATGTCTTGTGCAAACTTAAGAGTTGGAGCCCAGAGCAAATTTTATTAAAGACTGGTTCTGTGAATATTGAAACGGCCGCGTTGGAATCGACCTCCATTAGAACCAGGTGACCATTAACCAGGCGTTTATTTTGATTGGGGTTCTGATTTGGATGTTGCTAAGCAATTTAACTGTTCCAAACCAGATGTAGGTGGACTTTCCAGGGTGGGTGCATTCTCCTGGATACAGGCCTATGAGTTCTGGAAGTCTTTGTGGACAACCAATAAATGCCACAGGATTTGTGTGAGAGTGTGAAGGGCGATGCTGTAATTTGACTTCAAAGCTGATTGTCTTCACCCTCTTTTTAAAACAGGATCATTCAGTTTGTTTCAGTGATTGTTCTTTTACACACACATTGGAGAATCGTACTTTAACATTCAAATTCAGCAATCTTAGTGGTGTGGCTTCCTTAATGAATGGACCCAGTTTCACCTCAAGAGGGACAAAGTATTACCATTTTTTTAACATTAGCTTATGTGGAAACGAGGTAAGTTTTTTTTTCTCTCTCCATGAAAATTTCAATTAGATGTCATCTGTAATGATGCAGATTTGCTGAAACAGAGAGATTTCCGATTGGGAGCGCAAAAAAAGTAAACTCCAGAGCATTTTGCTAATGTAGTTTATTCATTAGTAATTCAATCAGATTCGTTTCCACTAAAGTGAGCACTCAAAGTAAATTTAAACATAAGGTGCTCAATTCATTTTTAACAAAGCAATGAGCTTAAATAAGAGATAACACAGTGTGGAGCTGGATGAACACAGCAGGCCAGGCAGCATCAGAGGAGCAGGAAAGTTGACGTTTCGGTTCGGGACCCT